TGGTTCCTGTAGTATGACATGATGATTGTATGGTTCCTGTAGTATAACATGATGATTGTATGGTTCCTGTAGTATAACGTGATGATTGTATGGTTCCTGTAGTATGACATGATGATTGTATGGTTCCTGTAGTATAACTTGATGGTTGTATGGTTCCTGTAGCATAACGTGATGATTGAATGGTTCCTGTAGCATAACATGATGATTGTATGGTTCCTGTAGTATAACACAAATCACAGTAATCAAACTGAAACCTGCATTAATGGCATAATGAAAACACAACTTACTGTTTCTCCTAGACTATTTCCACTTTTAAATAAATCATAAGGATAAAGAATACGCTCATAATGCTGCCTCAAGAGGGACCCAATGCTCTTTCCTGGTTGATACCCCATTCTGGCAGCTACTTTTGCCCATTTCCTCTCCTTTATCACTATATCCATACCCCCTTCTTGCTGAACTATCTAACATATGTATAATAAAAATAATACAATTTTACCTTGGCATGTTTAATCAACAAACTAAAACAAATCTAACATGCAGTCATCCTTAAAATAGTCAGTAATGGGAAAAATTTTCTCTTATAAAAAAATATATATCTATGGAAATGAAATCAATAGCAGATATTTATAATTCAAAATATAATGTCACCCTTATATTTTACATGTTGTAGATGTTATACATGAGTGTACATATACATTAAAATTATACAAGTCAGTTGAGGCAATGATAAAAGTTGAAAATTGTGTCTTTCTTATTTATTTATGTTTTATTGAGTTAAGTAAATATTAACATCAAAAGGAAGAACTGCATTAAAAATACCAAGCCAAAACCGGTGATGAAAAGCATTTTAATTGTCAAAATAAGCCTTAACAACTAACAAAATATACTGCAGACAGTGGAGGGTGATATAGATGTGGGCTTGGGCATCCACATCTTGCTTTTCTAACTCATTTTTATTTTTCTTACTTAAGTTATCTTTATTCTTCTTTCTTTAACACGTGAGGCTAGTGAACGAAGGTTAATACTAGTAGATCGTGGGTCCTACTTCAACAATCACCTCCAATACCAAGAACACGTCTTATATCCCACATTACAGATTGTGTCCTGGTGATCTTTTCAATTTATGCAGCCTTTTTGTTGTATTTTTTGTTAGTTGTTAAAGCTTGTTTTGATAATTAATATATAAATTAAGTACATAAAAATGGCACAGTAACAACTATATGTGGGTGATGTAAATCAGCATAGCAAAAAGTGAAGAGAGTGTGCAAATAACAAATTCACGCTTTCTCATTAATATATTCCCTTCCCCATTTATATCACCCACAGTTGTTGATGTACCATATTTATGTACTTACTTATACTTCACAACAAAAAAACTAGACCTTTTGTTTTTATAACTGGCATAACATTTGTTTGTCTTGTCAATGCATGAATTATGTATGTGTATACATATTCATTTATATATACACACATAACTTAACTTCAAATTAAGGCAGTATTCAAAAAGTATTCAAAACATTCTACAAAAGTTAAGAAGTAATGAACTATACAAAATTACTTTTAATTATTAATGTAAAGTTTTATTTGTCTTGGATTTGAATTTAGCAGGTCTAGCAAGGCATGCCTAAATTACAAATGTTTTCTATTATTGCATTTTACTTCTAGTTCAGAAACAACTTATTAAAAAATCTTTGCCATTTAGTGTTAACATTTCTAATCATAGCTTCTCTTCCACTAATGTCACTCAACAACAGTAAAGAATATGTATTTTATCGTACTGCAGCTGTAAGATACATTAGCTTTACCTTATGGAGCAAGTAAAGATCCATGAGCTTCCTTTCAACATTTGGAATTTTAAGTGAAGAGCCCTGGAAATATCAGAATTTGTGGTTTAATATTCAAAACAACCTATAAAAGCAATCATATAAATATTTCATTGTTCAAAGTTATAAAGAATTACCTAAAATAATGTGTAAAATTAAAATAATTGCTATAAAAGGGTTATTGAGAAAAAATAAAGTATCAACATTATAAATGTTCATTTAAACTAGTCATATGCAACACTATTGGTACGAATCACTTATGTAAAATTGTTCCACAGAGTTTTAAAACAAGTCTTTAAAAAGAATTAGTCACAGAATGAATAGCTGAGTTTGAAATTTTTTCCACTCTCAGGTTCACAACTCTTAAGTAAAATATTCATGAAAAATCAAAGTCACATAATGAACAGATTATTAGAACATTTTCTCCTCCAAGTTTTACAAGTCTTTAATAAGGCTTTTATAAAGAATTAAAGTCCCATAATGAACAAACAAGTTAGGAGACTTTAGTTTGTTTACTCATACACCTTGTAGCATTTAATTAAGAACAGTATTACACCATTAAAACCATAACTATTTATTATTGTAAAAACAAAAATACCTTTGTTTTATGATAAATAATTGTGGTTTGATATGTAATTAATTAAAGCCATTATTTATTGATTTAAAGTTCAAAATTCAAAAATGTATATCTATAATAATAAAAGTGCCTCTGTATGTGTGTGTGACCACCATAGCTCCAAGATGAAAGAACCTAGAGACCTGAAACTTTGTACACATACCAAGGGGATTCTGAGGGTATGCACCTGGGTATTATTTTTCAGCTTTTTTCTATAATAATAAAAGAGCCTGTGTGTGTGTGTGTGATTGCTATAGCTACAAGAGTAAAGAACCTAGATACCTGAAACTTTGCACTCATAATGAGGAGATCCTGAGAGTATGCACCTGGGTATTGTTTTTTTAGGTTTTAGCTTCCTGAAGTTCTATAGAAAGTTTCATATTTGTTTTCTAATTCTCACTTACTGAATGAACAATATATGGAAGTTTTCTGCCAAATACTCTTCATCAACACAAACATTGGAATAAAAATACAAACCCAAAAGTTATAAAAAGTGAATTGAACTAAGTTTGGGAGACAGCAACACACAATAGGAAGAAAAATATGAATCAGAGAAGATTGTAGAATTTGGAGAATGAAAAAAAAATAAATGAGAAGCTAAATTAAAACTAAAAAAAAGAGTTGAATATAATTAAGTTTGGGAAATGGCAACAGACAAATCAATTAAAGAATAATGGAGATGTTTGACTGATAAACTGAGGCCTCTGAGAATCATGAGGGGACCTTAGAATCCTGTAGCAGAGCATGGGTATTTTATGCTAGTCATTACATATAATAACCACATATTTTATCTTTAATACTCATAAATTTAAACATTAAAACTTTAGCATTACATAATTGTTGTGGAAGAGTAAAGGAAATGTTGAAAGATATAATTATAAAATAATTTTAATATTTTCCCTATACCCAAGGAGCCGTAGAATTGGGATTTACAAAGGCAGCACAGGGCAAATAAACACACAAACACACACACAAATAATTGAAATTATGCTGTCCAGGCATAATTAGGGTCATTTAAATTACAATTTAAATCACCATTCACAAGAGAGTTCTTCCTCTATATGAAATATAATGCCATGAGCGTTTTTCCAACAGAAACGGTACACCTGTGCCAGAACAAATAAACAAATTTTCAAAACTATATTCTGTATATAATTTTAGTTGCAAGTTCATGCTAGTTAATTAATTTTAAATTACACTAAACTTTGTGTTGTAATCATCATTGCAAGATGTATAAAAGTGACAGCAAGGATGGGTGTCAATTTTTGGGTTATTGGTCAAATGAGAGAATCAGGTTCATCAATATTATGATAAGACTACTCTTAGCTCAGCTGTGAAGAACTTAATAAACAATGTTCAGAAAAATCATGATTATTTAGTTTAATTACAAATTGAAAGACATTTGTAAATAAAACTCTTACATTTCTTTGAACAATAGATCGATTTAAAACAAAGCAGGTGTTCCTTTATGACATAATCAATTTTGCTTGTAATTAGCTATAATTTTATTTTTTCATACAAACAAGGTATACATCTCAGGTTTTTAATTACAACCAAAATGAAACATGTTCTTGCATCAACCTACAAAAATCAAGAAAAAAACTTTTTCAGATGGAAAAGTGTAAAATACACTTGACCAAAACTTAAACTTTTGTGACAAGATTATTTTTCAATCTAAACATGCCAAAGACTTATATATATATATAACAATCTGCATTTAAAATCTAATGTTGAAATGGAAATTCTGATTTCTTTGGCCATAACAGTATATTATTCACATGTAGGCCTAGGCCTAACACTAATATTACTATTAGTACTACTAGACATAGGAGTTATTGTATTATCTTCTTCCATAGGCCTAATTAATGTCATGGACACGAGATCCATAACTAGACAAAGATTCAACAGTTTTAATTTTGTTCTTAATGAACTCTTGTGTTTCACATGTGGCTCTGCCTCCTCATGTCAAAGTTCATTAACACAAATTACAATGCTACAGGAACCATACAATCATCATGTTATGCTACAGGAACCATACAACCATCAATTTAGATCGTAAACTGTTCTTACTGGTTGTTACATGCCCTGCCACATACCGTTTAGATCAAAACCTTTTTTTACTGCTAGTTACATACCCTGTCACATACTGTTTAGATCATAACCTTTTTTTACTGCTAGTTACATACCCTGTCACATACTGTTTAGATCATAACCTTTTTTACTGCTAGTTACATACCCTGTCACATACTGTTTAGATC